AAATTGTATGACTAAATCGCATGCAATGAAAAGGCAAAGCTCACGATTTAAGTCCGCTCACTATACAGTCCGATACTCGGATGCGACCTGACTACTCACACTACACGAGCAATATGGACTCCCGTACCCGGAACTGTAAACGTCGAAAAAGAAGCAGAAGAAGAAGAAGAAGAAGAAGAACCCGCATCAGTGGCGATGCTCACCAGAGCGAAACGTGCTGCTTTGGCCATTTGTGCAATTTTGTGCGCAGAAAAATCCAAAAAGAAGAGACGCTGGTGTGTATGGACATGAGGATGGCTGGGAAGACGTGGACAATACGGCCTGTCCGTTTTACAACGAGAACAAACTGTGTAATACTCAACTAATATGCTAATTGGCACAACATCCATGTGAGGTCACACGTATTAGGCAGCATAACTACATCATGTTGGCATACCTATCTAAATGGGGACCATCCATTCATTTCCAGGGGCAAAACCCTAATCCCAATCACAACACCTTTAACCCCCTACCCAGCCCTTTCCTTAACTACATGTAACCAAACAAAATAGAAGACTTTTTTACTTTTTGATTGCATTCACAGGTCTTTGTGGGGACATGAAAAATGAAGACATTTGTAATATAAACCTAATCCTCACACACACATACAGACACACACTAACATATTTAATTCATACACCCTGCGACTCGTTTATCTGTACATATAATCTATACACACCATACATATTTGACCTCCACATGTCCTTTTGTTGATCTTTCAGGTACCATCTAGTGAATCTGGGACAATCCGCAGATGGGCTTCCAAGTTGAGCAGGAAATTTCACCTGATGTGCTCACTGCTTACCAGTGGCAGTGGAATGCAGGTTATAATCCCCAATAAAACTTAACAGGTGAAAATGATCTTGCTTGGATTGCCATGAATAGGAGACACACATGTTTTGTGTTTGCATCCTCTGATAATTATAGTTCTTTTTTACACTAACTAGTGGGGATTGTTCATCGATCGTTACACCCATTACGGCAACACTTTACTTGAAGCAGTCTACATAAGGGTGACATGTAACCGTCATAAGAATGACATGACACATGTCATGCACATTAATGACACATTATTGATGTTTATGACTGTTGTCATAAACATGACTGTTCTCATAATGTGTCATTCGGTTTTTGGATACATTGTGGGAAGGAGACAAGTTGGCAGAGGGAGTGTGATGCTCTGGGCAGTTTTACTGGGAAATCCTGGGTCCAGCCAGTCAAATGAAGGTCAGATCCTCAGGGGCTTCTCCTCACAACTTAAAGGAGTTAAATGATCTGCTGCTAACATCTTGGTGCCAGATACCACAGGACACCATCAGAGGTCTTGTTGAATCCATGACATGGCAGGTTCGAGCTGTTCTGGAAGCTTGCGAAAGACCAGTAGCATATTAGGCAAGTGGTCATAATGTTTTGGTTCTTCGGTGTACACCTACATACACACCCAATACTTGAATGCCTTAAAAATTATATATTTCAAAACACATAAAGAACAAAAGATAATGAACGTTCATACAAATGAAATATCATTACTCATAGGCAGAATAAACTAAATGAAATATGTGTCATAACCCTAGAAACCTCAAGATGGCGATATTTACAGTGTAATATATGAAGTATACACCTTAAAAGCCATTATAAGCAGTCAATAAAGACAGACAATTCAAAATGCAGCAAAGTGTTAAACCCATATTACAGAGCATTGTTAATGATTTATAACAATACTGATTTATACTTTTACAAATCTACACACAAACCAGGGCAATTAGACATAACACCATTGAAACCCTTCATTTTTAATACAATGAGTTCCCTTTCCTCACATACATCTCCTGATACTCACATCCTTTCTTGCCTCCCGTTCAAGCTGTTCTTCTAACATCACTAATTGTGAATGAAAGCGCCACAGAGCAGAAAACCAACAGATCTGATTGAATGATGTCTGTCATCACACAGATTTAAGGATGGTCCCTTTGATCTGCACCATCTGATAATCTTCACTCAGACGCCCGTGGGTCTGTGAACCAGCAGGCAGCTCCTTGGAGAAAAATTAAGTAGATGGAGTCGGCTCTTAGTCCCTCAGTCTTCAAGTCACAATACGGGAGAGGAGGACACTTAAAGTCTACATGGAAGATCTTTCAAGCTGTCACATCCAAAGTAAAATCCATTTGTGTGATGGGGGCGATTGCTGCCTGGTGTGTTGTGTGGATTCAGTTCATCTGTTCCCTGCTGACCCTATAAAAGTTTGGCCTTGTGCTCCATCCATCCACTAACCACTGGTCAGGGTCATAAGGACCTGGGGCTGATCTCAATCTAGGGTTAAATGGGTGTTGGAACCCCCCCCCCCCCCCC